GAAAATGAAACAAATTACATCCTGAGTTGAAAATCCAATCCTGGTCATAATCATGCAACAGGGTGGTCCCCAGGAAAGGGGGAGGTTCCCTGCCCCACCCAAGGGAGGGTGGAGCTGAGCAGGAAGAGGAGAAGCTGCAGAAGAGACTGAGGAAGGAAAGAAGCAGGATGGAGCCAGGAGACCTGGAGGAGGCGCATGGAGCCTAGAGACACGTGAAGAAACTGCGCTTGTCTTTTGGTCGTAGACTGGGTGACACAGATGTGGGTGAGACCCGTGGGGAGGTGACAATGGCAGCTTTTATCTTGATGTTGATTTTGCTCTTTTCCTTCCGGGCTTGTCTGGTTATTTCTGACCCTTTGCTGTGGGTCCCCACTGGAAGATGCTTTAGACTTGTGGCAGGCTTTGGGGCTTTGCTCTGGGCCAATCCCATTTGGATGGACTTTTACCCACGAGGGGACGGGTAACTTTGGGTGCTTCATTTAGAAACTAGACTCTTTGCCTTACCTGTATTGTTTCCTAGTTTTATTAAAGTTCCTTCCCATTAAAGTCTTATATGTTTTGTGTTGATGCGGCGGATGGCAGAACCCATGTAGAATAGGCAGGTTTGCGGGGTTTGGGCTGCCCCTCTCCCTGTCCTATAACAATCAGACTCCTTAGCTTACCTAGGGAGGGCCAGCAAATCCTCTATTATGGTGTAAGACACATGGACGATCTCTGCCATTCATCCATTCTGGTCATTACTAATATCCTCATTGTTGAGACTCTATAATCACCCATGATGAATGCTGACTTGAGTTACAGGGAGCCAGGGATCTGGCTAAAGCTGAGAGTCCTGCTGTCTAGGACTAAATCTTCCTTGCTTTTCCCGCTCAGAAATCATGTCACTAACAGAAAGCCACCTAGGAGGACACACTGGTCCTACCACTTTTAGGACACTCCTGTTATAAAATACACAGAATCTCAGGCACTAACCAGGAAATTTTGTTTCCCTCTATGTGGGTCAGGATTTAGGAATTAGTGTTTTGTTAAAGTTCCCTTGTGATTCCTGTGCAGCAGATCTAATACTGATAGTGTTTACAGTCCTCATTTTTCATTTAAGCGACATATCTTTTCCCACCCTTTTACTTTTTTTTTTTTTTTTTTGTGGGACCCTCGCCGGGGGCCGGGGGACTAACTGGCGCTGCAGCAGAGGCTGCTGGCAGCCTCGCAGCCCAGCGCTCAACCGCTGCACCTCACCACCCTTTTACTTTTAACCTATCTGTGTTTTTATATTTAAAGTGTTTGTTTTTTTTTTTTAAGATTTATTTATTTATACAAGCACTTGGGTACAGGCCAGAGGCACGGGGGTGGTGAGAGGATTCACCAGAGACAGAGCAGGGAGCAGAACAGGCAGAAGAACCGAAAACAGCCGGCTAGACAGGAGAGCAGCTGGCTAGATAGGAGAGGTCTGCCACGCCATGTGGGAATCTCCCTGGCCAGCTGGGACTCGAACCCGCGCTGCAGAGGCTGTGGACAGCTTCACAGTGCTGCGCTCAACCTGCTGTGCCACTGGGGAGGCCCTAACGTGGTTTTCTTAACTGGACAGCCACTTGCACAAGAATGAAGATAAATCACTATATCCATACCATGCACAAAAATCAACTCAAAATGGATAAAAGATCTGTATGTAAGGCCTGAAACCATAATATACATAGAAGAAAACAAAGGCAAAGCACTTCATGACATTGGCGTCAATGATACGTCTCCAACAGCCAGGAAGAGAACATAAACAGCTGGGACTACATCAAACTAAAAAGATTCTGCAGTGAAGGAAACCAGAACTAAGGCAAAAAGGCACCCAACTGAATGGAAGAAAATATTCACATACCATATATCGGCCAAGGGGCTGATAACAAACGTATAAAAAGAAAGCAGATAACTCAATCAAAAAATGGGCAGAAGAGCTAAATAGCCACTTCTCGAAAGAAGACGTACAGATGGGTAACAGGCACAAGAGAAAAAGTTCATTGTCACTTATAATGGGGAAATGCCAATCAAAATCACAATGAGATACCACCTCATACCTGTGAGAATGGCCCAGATCAAACAGATCAAAGCAACAAGTACTGGTGAGGATGTGGGGAAAAAAGGGACTCCTTTACACTTATTACTTGGAATGTAGGCCGGTATAGCCCCTGTGGAAAACATTATGGAGGTTTCTCAAAAGATTAAACATATACCTACCATTTGACCCAACAGTTTCACTCCTAGATGGAACTCCTACCCAAACAACAAATACAATTAATTTGAAAGGAAACTTGCACACCCATGTTCTTTGCAGCACTAATTTCAATAACCAAACTATGGAAAAAACCTCAGTGACCAGAAACAGATAAGTGGATCAAGAAGATGTGGTACATATATACTCAGCAATCCAAAAGATGAACTCATGCCATTCACAGCAACATGGATAGAACTGGAAGGGATTATGCTAAGCAAAATAAATCAGAAGGAGAAATACACATCCCAGATGGTGTCACTCATATGTGGAATAGACAGATATCAGACAAAGGGTTAGATAAAACTAAACTCAAAAACTAGTACTTGACAACAGACTAAAGAACTGAGATGTTTAGAAGGGGGAAGAGGAGGGTGAGCACAAAATGGAGAAGGAGCACAATGCGCTGTGGTGGACTGGGTGCTTTGAGGTGGGATTACTATGCTAGCGTTATCAAAAAGGGAGGATCCTCTACTTCCAAAATACAAACAACAATGCAAAATTACCTAAATAAATAAATAAATAAATAATGCTTTGTCCACAGTGATTTTCACATAGTTAACTTACAAAACATATGCATGAATTTAAGAAAAATTGGTTTTCTTACAGAGAGCATACAGTTGGATCTTCCTTGTTTTATCTAATGTGATCATCGCTGTCTTTCAATTAAAATGTTTAGTTTATCTTTATTTAATGTAATAAAGATGGTTATGATTAGATTTAAAATCTACCATCTTGCTATTTGTTTTCTATCTGTCTGTTTTTCCTGTTTCACCTTTGTTTTTTGTTTTTGTTTTTTGTTTTGCCTTCTCTTGGACTATTTTTTATGATCCCACTTATCACCTCTGCTCATTCATTTAAATATGTCTCTTCTTTCTTTTTTTTTTAGAAGTTTCTTTAGGATATGTAGCAAACATTTAACTTTTCAAAGTCTACCTTGAATTGACATAATACAGCTTCAGATACAAGAACACAAACAATAACATACTTTCATTTTTCCCCATCTTAGGTTTTGCGCTATTATCATATATTTTATTTCTACCTTTGTTAAAAACCTCTTATCATACTTTTTTATTTAATAATCAATTATTTATTAAATGTATATAAATAGTAGAGAAATTATATTTATGGATTACCATTTGTGGTATTTTTCATTCCTTTGTATAGATCCATATTTCTCCCTAATCATTTTCATTCTAGCTAAAAGATTTCCTTCAATATATTTTGTAATACAGGTCTTCTGGAGATGATTTCTTTCCACATCTGTATGTCCATTTTAAAAAAGCTTTATTTTTGGAAGATTTTTTTCTCATATATAGAATTCTCAGGGAACAAGTTTTTCTTTTAGTAATTTTAGGCTATTTTTCCACTGTCTCCTCACTTGCATTTTCTTTCTTTTTTTAAAATTTTACTTTGCATAGAAGAAGTGGGGTGTATTCCAGAGGTGCAGGAGCAGGGAGAGTAAGAGGATTCACCAGAGACAGAGTGGGGAGCAGAATAGGTGGCTCTATTGAAATACACTGCTGAGGGGAACAGCAGGCGAGACAGGAATGGTGTGCTGTGCCATGTGGGTTAGCTCCCTGGCCTGGGATTGAACTCAGACCATCCAGGTGATAGCACTAAGAACAACCCCTAGGCCACTAGGGCAGCCCCTCACTTGCATTTCCTTTTGAGACATCTATTGTCATCCTCACTGCTGCTCCTCTGTTTCTTATAGCATCTTCATTTTCTGGATGTTTCTAAGACCTTATTTTTATCATGGGTTTGAACATTTTGATTATCTGTCTTAGTGTGTTTTTGTTGTTGTTGTTTCTTGTTGTTTTGATTTCTTGAGCTGCTTGCACCCATGACTTTATAGTTTTTGCAAAATTTGGATATTTTTCAATCTTCATCCCTTCACATATTTTTCTACCTCCTCCATGTCCCTTAGGGACCTACACTTAACTAGGTGGTTTGAAATTTTACCACCATCCATTGAAGCACTAAATTCTTTTTGTCCCCTGTATGATTCATTTAGAAAAGTTTTTGTTTTTATGTCTTCAGGATCATTAGCTTTTTCTTCTGTAATGTCCAATCCAATATTAATACTCTCTACTATATTTTTTATCCCAAACATTGTCATTTTCACCTTTAGGAGTTCAATTTGCATCTTTGTACCTTTCACTTCTCTAACAATCTAGAGCATTTTGGGCATATGGGATATACTCATTGTACAATTACTCACTTAATGTCCTTGTCTGCAGATTCTGACATCTGTACCAGATCTGGATTTGTCTGGGTGGACTATTTGTTTTTTTTCTTGCAATTTTGATTAGAATCTGTGATTTGGGTTTTACTTTGATGCTGGATAGCTGGGGTTTCTAAATAAAGACGCGAACTTTGTTCTGGGATACATTTGTTACTTGGAAATAGTTTGTTCCTATCAGCTCTGTTAGGTGAAACCAGAGCAGAGCTTAGTCTAGGGTTAATTCCCCCCACTCCGGAGGCAAGGCCTTTCTGTGTACCTGGTACTGGCCTCTCCCTGCCCTCCATGATCCCTGCTGATTGTGCCCTCTAGTAAGTTCAGGTGCTCCTTTCCCGAGCTTTGAGCCGTTTTCTCGTGTGTGTGCACTAATCCTACTCACCTGAGTATAAAGCTAACCCTTCAGATCTCGAGTTTTCTCTCTGGACAGCTGTTTCCCCTCCAGTATTTAGGCAGCCCTGACACCAGTCTCCATTTCCTCAACTCCGGGAGACTGCAGACTCTGGCAGCGTTTCTCCATCCCTGCGCCACTCATAAAAGCTCTTTGCAGACCATACATTGAAGAACTGTCTGGGTCACCGCATTTGCTTCCTCTCTGAGGAGTCACTGGTCTTCTTTGATGTCCTGTGTGCCGAGCTGTCTTGGAAACGCTTCACATAAGGTGCCACTGCATTTTGAAAGTTTGTGTTAAGCCACTCGCTTTCACAAAAGACCTACACTAGGAAAGAAATTTGAAGAGGATTTTCACTTTTAGGACAAAATGCTAAAAGTACTTCTTTTTGGAGCAAACACCCGCAGCGAGAGCAGCAACGCCAAGCTCCTGCCTGGGGCTACAGTGGACATCATGCTGCCATGACTTTGAACTCTGTGAGTATTTGTGCTTTGTCTCAATTTGTTTTGTGCCTCTGTTAGCAAATGTGTCCTCAGGTATCAGAAATGTCTAAGAGCGCTTGTGAGGATGTTATGCTTAGCGTAAAACTGTGTTTTTTCCATGGTGGTGAACTGAACTGGAAGCACTGGGTAAAAGTTTCCCTACATTGACAGGGCTAGAATGATTGCAGAAAAATGAGACTTTAATTTCAAAAGGCCACATAGATTTAGGGTAGGTTTGCAAGATGTTTGCCTACAAAGAATCGTGTGATGAAAACATTCAAGGACAAGCAGTCAAGCCTTCTGTTATGTTTCAAGCCACATCGGCCACCACAGAGTAAGAGCCTTCAATGTTGAGGCAGACAGGAGAAGGTGGAGGCATTAGTGACTGCCTGCTATGATGGATTCAGACGATGACGAGATGTTAATAATGGCCCTCTTCCTTTCTCTTCTATACCTCAGCTTCCTGCATCTCCTACCACCCCAATCTCCAAGGAACCAGCTTAACCCACCATCACTGCTACCTCAGTCTTCCCGTGTGCTCGCTGCCTTCCTGCTTCTGGTAAGTGGAACTATCCACACATACGTTATTTCTACTTTATACAAGTGGTGTGTTTATCATATTCCTGTTTTAACTATGTGTTGGTGTTATTTCAGGCTTTATGTCTTACTCCATATGATTTTTTTAGGTTATTTTTGGAGTCTGGTAATGCTCAAAAGTCTTTTCATATAAATTGATGGTAATTGTCTTTTATGCTGCTTTGGCTACTAAAGGGTTCACAGGGACACTGCTTTTGGTAACCAGGGAAAACCTGTGTTTTGTTTATTTCATTGTTTCAGGTGAGAGGTAAATCTGTTGTTTGGTTCAGATATTTCATTGTTTCAGGTGAGAGGATAAATCTTGACCAGGAAGGCAGAATTCTCCTCAAATACATTTTTTAAGTAAAAGGCATTTATATGAACAAAAGTATTATGAGATAATTGGATTGATATCATGTGACTGGCAAAAATCATGGCTTTGTAAATGACTGATGTGTAGAAAATACCTGTTTACTCCAAACCATTCATTATATCACACAAGTAATTAAACCCTACCTGTGGCAAGAGATGCAGAGAAACAATTCCTTGGTGGGGAAGCTAAACAAAATTAATTTTTCTCTCACCATATCCAGTATTCTTACCAATATCTCTGTTTCAAGTGACCCCAAACCTGCCAACTGTAAAGGACATTTAATATTCTTCTAAAATATACCTGATCAAATCATAATGCCATTGCATTTGGAAACCATTAAAGCCATTGGTTCAATTTATTTATACTATTATAAAACTTTTTCAGACTTCTCATAGACACTTGTGGCAAAATTGCTTACCTTCCCTCCACTAAAATGAAATATGTTTGCACTTCATCTGGAAAGGAAAGAGTTGTGTTATGTTAAGTGATAGTACTTGACTCTGGCTTAAGGTCATCTACCTCATAAACGCTGCTGTTTTTATGAGAGGCAGGAGGACAATTCAGTTGCTCCAGCAGGCACCACAGGTACAATCACCTGCAGCCTTAAAGCTTTCCAAGGGCCTGTAGTAACATTTGAAATGTGGGAAAAGACCTTGGCTGGTTCCAAATATACCTGTTCAGGTAGCCAAACAACTGATACTGGCAAAAGGTAACAAGTAGACAGAAACCAGGGCAGCTGGGCACCAATGGTCACCTCCCCTGAATGTCAGGGATGCAACTTCCAATTGTGCTCAGGTACCAGAGTTGTTGGTGGGTTCACAGTGATCCTCTCCCTTAGGTCAATTTCTTCACTTAATTATCTCATATACTAGATGTGGCAATGGGCTTGGTTTATAGTAGAGACAGACACAAGTTGGAAGTTATTCTCTTTGCTTTTCCAGTGCAGAGTCTTACACCCAGGGTCCTTGCTCCTGCTGTAAACAACTCAGGTGCTTAAATTCTGCTTAGTGAAGGCATTTGGTTGTCTCCATTTGGGCCTGGATGGGGTGGTGGCAGATGTTTCAAATCTCACAGCCTCAGGCTACAATTTCTAGTCTTCTATGAGGAGACACAGGTGATCCGATCTGGCTTGCCTGGCTCTCTTTACATACAGTTCAGGCTCCAGCTGTTCTATATTTGGGAGCCTCTGATTTAAGTGAGTAATCAGCACTCTGCACCCCTGTTCCTATGGTTCTCAATAGTGCACACTCTGTTTATACACCAATTATATGCACCCCCTTACACAGTGCAGTCCCAAGTTTTCAATGTCCCCAATGTGGTTATGTGCCACTGAGTCAACAACTACAGGGGGGCTCTGTAAGGCAGCTGACCCTCCCTCTTATAAGATTTACTGCCTCAGTATAACTGCAAACCCAGTTCAATAAATGTATTTCCTACCCCTTTCTGCCAGACTGTCACTCCTAACACTATAATCATCTATTTATCTTTCAGTGGTGATTGACTTTTTGTTCTGCTACAGCTTAGTTGAGAATATATGTAGGAGGTTAGCCCAGCATCTTTGCTCTGCTGCCATTCTACTGGATACTTGATTTGTTCCATATATAAAAACGAAGTCACAAAATTAATACTAATGTTTTTATACCTAAAAATGCAACATGGAAACCTGTAATACCAACTTAATTCTTATGTTTCTGTATGCATTTAGTTAAATGCACATTGTCCCTTCATTTTAATATAGTAGCCCCCATTTATCCATGGGAGATACATTTAAAGATCCCCAGGCAATGCCTGAAACCATGGATAGTACAAAACTCTATATACCATGTTCTTTTCCCAGACATACAAACCTAAAATAAAGTTTAACTTACCAATTAGGCACACTGAGACATTAACAGTAACTAATAATAAAATAGAACAATTCTAATAACAAAAGGTATGAGAATGTCGTTCTTCCTCTCTCAAAATATCAGTCTACTAAGCTTCCTGTTCTTGTGTTTCTATGATATGATCATTGCTATGATATGATAACTGCCTGTGTGATGAGATGAGGTAAATGGAATAGGCCATGTGAAATAGGGCTTGGACACTACTGACTACTCTTGTGCTTTAGGGCCACTTCTAAGTAAATGATCACAAACACTGTGATACTGTGACAGTTGATATTGTTATTACTGAGATCGCTACTAAGTGGCAAACACATGGGTAACTACACAGTGTGGATCCTTAAAAGGGACATTCACACCCTGAGGGAATGAGGTGGGATGGCTTCCTATTTCATCTTGCTGCTCTGCATGGCAGGCAATTTTAAACTTGTGAATTTTTTTTTTCTGGAATTTTCTGTTCAATACTTTCAGACCTTTGGTGGCAAAAAGCAAAACTTTGAAATTGCAAAAAGCAAAACTTTGAATTAGGAAGAAAATGTATGTTTGATATAATGTGAGGAGTCCATGAGAGTGCTCGGGACCACTAAAGCTCTATAAAATGACCCAAATTTAGTTACTGAAATTCCAGAGAAGTATTGACTGTTGCTGACCACCTTGCCTTAGAAATAATAATAACTACACTTGTATCCAGTAGAATTTAACAATTTTATTTTCTCCATTTCACTAAATGGGATATGGCTTAGGTAATTTTTAATTGTTTTTTACTTTTGTTAAATTTGTTTTGCCTGTAGTCCAATTCTCATACAGAATCAGACACCGAAATCCAAACAGAAATAGATCTTTTTCAATGATCAACTCTTGAAGATTTCTAACACATCTGAATTATCCCACAGCTTCTAGAATGCAATAACATTTCTATTAATTTTTCTAAATAAAATATGCTTCCAACACTCTTTCAAGACTGATGAGATGTTTGGTTATCAGGATTTCATTGCTACTTATCAGATCTCACAAGAACCCCGGGGCTTACGTCATCTTGGAAAATGGAGGGCAACAAATTTGAGTGGAGTTTTTTCTTGTTTTATGGGCATTTAAGTATATAAAAAAACAGTTAGCACTGCATACAGTTGTTCAATCCCTCACATCCTTACCATGCTCAACTAAGGGAAACTGCTGCTTGGTTCCTAGTTCCCCAGGCACAGATTCATTGCCCTCTGAGGTTTTGCAATCTTTAGAGTGTTGCATTGCAGAGGAATGCTCCTCTGCCAGTGTCAGAAATCCAACACACCCCAGAGCCAGGCTTCTTCCTTCTGCTACCCATTTTACTTTTTTCAGACAACGCAGTCCATTCTCTTCATAGACCAAAGAACACAGGTGTGTGCCTGGGCCCCATCAAAAAAAAAAAAAGAAAAGCAAACAAAACTGCCCGTGCTTTAACAATTTCAGATTTAAAAAAAAAAAAATAAAGACATCTAAGCAACTTTGTTCCTGTCCACTCACAAACTGGAAATGTAATCTTAATTCTAACTTTTACAGAAATCCCATCAGATCCTTTTTAATAAACCTAAGCTTACCAAGAAGCTCCGATGGAATAGGTTTCAAAAGGAAAGTAATGAGACCTAATTAAAGAAAAGACTAGTATCTGAACAATGAAGGAGCTAAGGACCATGCCCCCTACCCCCAACCCATGTAGTTGAAAATCAGCATATAACTTTAGAATCACACTAAACTTATTAATAGCTTGTTGTTTACTGGAAGTCTTACCAATAACATAAATTCATACACTTTGCATGTTACGATTTATATACAGTATTCTTACAATAAAATAAGCTAGAGAGAGTAAACATTTAAAAAATTATAAGAGAAAATACACTTACTGTTCTCAATTGATACCACAAGTTTGTAATCCATTTACAAGAAAATTGACATGTAAATGGACCTGTATAGTTCAAACCTGTGTTGTTCAGGGGTTAACTGTAAGAATAAGTCCTTCGTGGTGGTGGTGGTAGCAGTGAGTATTAAGTATTAAGAAATTTTTCAAAGAACTGGAACCATCATCGGAAGTGCTGTCAATCATATTTCTTTGTTGCTTCAGCTTCCCCATTAAATAGAGAACAAAACAACTAAAGATGGATCCTTATTACTCAAATGGGTATGTGAACACACCTCAAGGCCTTGAGCAAGTGAGATGAGTTCAGATTTACACCACTGAATGCATAACACAGTTGATAGAGTTGATGAGAATGAAATCTTGTAATAAAATCAACTCTTTTTAAAAGTCCACTGACATTAGTCCTTACGAACATTGTTGGACATTTTAGGAAAAGCCAGGAAACATTAAGAGAGAAGAATGAGTTTAATCAGTGGGATAAAAGCTATCTGCTAAAAGCTGAGATTAGACCACATTTCCTGTGGCAAAGCTTCCCAGGAACACTCAAATTCAGTCCAACATTACAGAAGTATTGGTCGACCCCTTTCTTTCAGAATTAGAGTAATTAAGAGAATCTGAAATCTAGAATCATAAACTATTCTCAGCAATGCAACACACACACACACAATTTTTAAATGCTATCAAAGAGCTGTTTCCCCAATAATTCTCTGGCAAGGCTGTACCATAGTTGTCTCTAACTGCTTTTTCTTTTTAATCTATACTAGGCAATTAACACCTCATTCTACCCAACTCTATTCTCTATACTTGATCCTTTAGCACTTTATTTTATCAGTATA